CCGATTTACATATGAACATTTATCCGACGTTCTTACTTTGAAGGTAAACATCGTGATACAACCTCACACATATCTGAGAAAAAATTCAAAGATATGTGTGAAGTCAACCAACCCAAACTTGGCCAGCGTTAACTATAGCCTAATCACCCTTAACTTAGGGTAGGCTCCGAGCCTCTCGGTGGGGACGTATAATGAGCTGATGATGATGATAATGATGAAAACGAGCATTGTGAATAGTCACAAGTGAATTAAATATAGAGATTTATTTTGTAAATATAGGAAGTCTTGAACCATATATGACGTAAACATTATCAAATAGATAAGAGAACCACGTTCAAGTATATCATTCATAATTAACTATTATCTAAAGTTCGAGCAATTGTAACATGACAACGAATTCGCGAATCGTAGATATGTAATAACAACGCAACGAGCATGTTCTGATAAAAATAAAACACCAATGACCCAATGGCATGTGAATAATGTTAAACGAGATAGCGGTATATAGAATTTTTCCACTGATACTTATTACATTCCAAATAAAGACTTGTCCGGTAAAAAGTAGTTCTCAGATCGTCCACAAGGGCCAGAGTGTATCTTGTAAATAACGCAATACTCATGTGGAATGGAATTTTATTGACAAATATTGACTTGTAGCAAATGTCAGACTAAAGATAGAGTTAAGCAAACATTATAAATAAAAATATCTTATTTTCTACAGAAAAACAGGATTCTAGACAGGGAACTAGATTCTTTTTATAGCATGCAATAATTGTGGAAAACCCAATATGTTTCCAATCGCCGGGGTGCTCACTAATGAAACAAACACAACAAAACATATTGTTGTACCTCTCATTATGTTAAAATAAATAGAGATTAAAATATGGGCTCTATATTTGTATGAAGAATATATTCAGTGAAAAAAAATTTTTTGTAAAATCACTCTTTGACCTGTAATTAAAACATTACCAATAAATATTATATTGTATTGTATATTTTTCTACAAATACTTAGGTAGTGGAAATCCACAGTTAAAAAAATGAAAGGAAAATTAAATGAGATTGATCAGAAAAACGGAAATTAGACCTCAACAGAAATTGTGCTATCTGTTTGATTCAATTGAGAAAAACTTTACAGCAAATATGTTTAAATTAATTACAATTTGATTAGATAACATAGTAAATTTGTATAACACTAATTATTCATTTGATAGGTTAAAGGAACAGATCTATTCAACGGAAACAAGAATTAACTGGTTTGCCACGAGTAAAGCATGAATTAAAATAATGATGCTTTAATAAACATTACATATTAGGTTGATAAAGTGAAATCATGATTATTTGAACACTAGCTGTGGCCTGCAACTCCACCCTATGTGTTCTTCCAGATTACATTCTACATATGTGCCAAATTTTTGCTTTCTTCTAGTTAACATTTCCATGCATGAAAACATGAACTGAATGATAATTAACTTTATTCTAGCCATGATCATTATCACAATTTATTTTAGGTTTAAAGATACCATCAAAAACAAATTTACAAAATCGGAGCACCAGGGGAGGAGTTAAGCCGTAACATACAAAAAAAAGAACACAGACAAATTGATAACCTCTTTCTTTTTGAAGTCGGCTAAAAAACTAAAGTATCAAAAACTTTTATAATGCATAACATTCATAGAAACAAACCTATTATGTACATATAAAGAACATTTATTTACTAGTGTTATTGCAAGTTATATCTGATAAATATAAGTGTAGTGTCATTGAAAATATTATTTGTCATACACTTGTTTACTTTTATAAATAGCTTGCAATAATAAATTGCTATGTCTAACATAATTTTAGTACCAGTGGGTAATTATATATTATGAATAAAAGCAATTATGTATTTCTAGTACTAAATACTAATATGTATTACTGTAGTCTATATGAAGGAAAAAACATGAACTAAACAATTATTAATTGGCAGCAGTTGTACACAACTTCATGCACATGGAATTTAAAAAAAAACTAGTAATAAAGCCTATGTCAGCTGGGGATAGTATAGCTTCCCAATAGTAAAAAAAAAATTTAATTAACTCAGTAGTTTGGAGCCTTTTAATGTAAATAAACAATCAAATCTTTATATTATTAGTTAATTGATGTTATTATGTTAAGTCAATATTAAAGGGATGACTGCAAATGTACTTGAACAGTAGACTAAAAGCGAAAGAAAGAGAGAGAATTTAAAATCATGCATCTGTTTCACATTGTTGAAAGATATAATACGAATGTTTTTCTATATTAGGTCAATTGAAATGTCAATGTTTTCCATCCATTATCATTGTAGAGTAAACAAAACATCATTATATTTATAACCACGAATTGCCACTGTTGTAACACCTGTTAATAAACATTTCTTCATTCATTCATATCTTTGTTCTTTCTCAAAGAATAAGTTACTTTACATATGTAGTTACTCGCAATAATTAATCAAGACAAGTTGTATTTTATCAATAAAATAAAAAGTTTAAATAAATTCCTGATAACAAGTTTACTTTTTTTATTTTTTATACTAGGAAGCCCATACTTAACAACATAATATATTATTATTTGAGTCAATTTACTTGACATTATAAATGTATAAAACAACACTAAGGTACTCAGGAAATGCAATGAAGGTCGTGAGAATGAAAACATTTACTCATTGATATGAACTTGCTAATACATAAATGTCATATCTATATTTTATTTATTTATACTTAGTTTCTTTATTACTGGTTATATGTATACATTTATGTAATTTAAAATTATATGAATAAATATATTTCATCTTTATTGTTTTAGTAAAGTATACCAAAACTTGTCTTATTTTATTCACTTATTATTAAAATGCGTTTAAAGTAAATGTAAATGCAATTTAAAGTTTAAATTACTATAATAATAAAGTGTTTACTATCATTAAACATTTAATTAAATAGAATTAATACTCACGACGAAGTCCTTTTGCTATTGACACAGAAAAGTTATTTAATACTGACATTATACACAATTATAAACTCGATTATGAAAGTCCACAAAAATTGCTTTGCTCTCTTATCACTAAGAAAAGATGTATACTATCGTCAACGATTCCAAGCGCACTGAAGCTGAAGCCAACACACTATTTATCAACAACAGCAGGCGTGGCGATTTCATGCACAATCTTATATTCGATGTGTAATTAATAATGATAACGTATCTATAAAAGATATAAATTTTACATATGAATAAGAAGTACTCGATCGCGGACATTTCAACAATTTGTGCCAATTTCAATTTTGGTCAAATTGTGTCAATTTGATTAAAGAGAAAGACAAGAAATGTCATTTATTGCCACAGATTATATTTCACAGATCTTATAAGGATCATATTTTTCGTTTTGAAACGTGAAGTCGTTATAATTTTATCCGCGTGGCGCTAGTGTTTGTCCAATCAATCGAAGTCGTCATACGAAATCTTTGCGGCAATTAATTGCATTACGTTATTTTAAAAATCAACCATCATTTTATTATACGAGGGTGGGGTAAAATGAAAGACAAAAAAAACTGGGTACTTATAATATTCATGTTATAAAACAGCCAAACCACGGTACAAGCAATAATAAATAACAAATTCATCAACTCTTTTCACTCGCTTTATTTACAAACGATTATCGGTAAAGAAAATATCGGATTTTTCTCAGTTTTCCATCCTATACCATGCAAGCTAATTCCAGCTTCATAGACAAAATAATATTGTTTGGTGGCACATGTTTAAGTCAAACATACTTTAAGGAAAAATCGAATAGATTTCCATTTCGTTCTTGACTATACCTTTTAAAATATTCTGTATACCCTAAACTGGCAGTTGAGTAAATTTTAATAATAAATCAGCTCTATTTTAGATCGAATGAAAGTAAGTAATTTCTAGCTTTCTATTAAAAATATCTAAAGTCAAAATTAGCTTATACATAAAAAAGAATTTTTTTTCAAATACAATTAATAAAGTACACAAATATAACTTGGAAAATGTTTTCATTTTATTTGCTATATAAACAAGTCTTGTAAATTGACTACATGTAATTTAAAAATTAAGCATTTAAGAGAAAGTATAATATTAGCATGATTCCCTAAGTTAAATCCTAAGTTAGAAACAGAACCAAACAAGTTTAAAAATATCCGACAGATTTACACTGTCAGTCATGCAGTCACAAGTCACAAAAAAAATGTCAAACTTGCTACGTTCATTTAGGCAAAAGCAGGAACTTTACGAACGCTCAGCAACGTGTCAGAGTGAGACAAAGTGATGAGAAATACATACGTTTGTCACACTCTAACGCGACGAACCTTGTACTATTCCGGCTTACGTCTAAATGAACCCATTTAGAAACCGGTATATTACGCCCATTAGGAAAGTGAAATCTAGTCTTACTTATAAAGCAAATAACTAGTAACATTCCTTATTGCTTGACTTTCAACTAAATGTTCCTTACATCCTTATGACCATATTAAGACTATTTATCAATTTAACTTCTTTTGACAATACTAAGAATTGTCAATGTTAAGCATCTAACAATCTAAAAGCAACTTTGTTTAGAATTATTTTTCATAATTTAGATATTCATTTTTACACATTTTCGTTAACAACATCCCAAAACCAACAAACTTTAAAATTATTTTTTTATTTATTTCCAAGCTTAAATTGTCCAAATAAACCAACAAATGACTAGACAAAGACAAAGACATTTGAGTATAATATTTGCTTCGATATAATTATGAAAAGAAAATTCTGTTTTACATTTCAATTTTAAACAAAACACGCATGAATTTCAATAAACATACTCAAAATTTGCATTCTTATAACATTGCTTATTACATATTCGTTTAATAATAAGATATTAAAAGCAAATGAGAGCAAAAGTCTGCATATTTTAAAAAAAATGCAATTACGATTTACAATTTTTATGCTTTATTTTTAGCTAAAATTAATATTTAAACAAATGTCCAAAATTCAGATTCAAACATAGAACGATATGGAGCAGCTAAAAATAAAAAAATAAATAACACAAGGATTAAGTTATAAACAAATAGAAATCTCGAACTTTTAGGATAATCCAACAATCAAGGGAATCCAGTATTAAAATATTTCTATTTTAAAATTTAATTTTATCTACTCCATACATTTGTTGTCTTTAGTTACGTTAATAAAAATAAGTTCTTTATTTTGGTAATATACAGCATGATCTTTTTAAGTAGCGTACCAAATATACAAATAAAAACATGCAAAAAAAACATACGTTTACTATGAATACAATCTAAATTAAATCTACATTAAGATTCAAATTAATAACTTAATAAAGATTTAAATATTAGTTAATAAATGACCGTCCGCAAACTACAGTATGTTAATTCATATCAACACAAGAGTATGCCGTAATAAATAAAGATTTCTTTTCATCAGAGTTCTAACAGAGCAAACAAAAACACTTTTTAGCTAAATATTTTAAAACCTTTCATTGGATTTTCACCTAAACTCTCATCTAAAATGTATTCACTACAATAACTATTACAATATTTTATTTTTAATTATGATCAAAATATTAAAATATTGTCAATAAAACCTCGATGGTCGATGTGCAAATTCATAAAAAAAATATAATACAAACAAAAAATATGCTGGTTTTTTATATGACAATATCAAGACTAACTAAAATCGCAGAATAAACGTCGCATAATTTTTGTAATTTATAAATTTTTACATTTTAAACGATTAATATGAATGTTGAAGAATATCGATAAAATAATCGATTATAATGCAACATCGACCATCACTATCGTAAATATGCAAGATGGCGCTGTTTTATCACAACTGTCATCGCGGAAAACTTCGCAAGGCACATCAATTATTACTTTTGCAGGTAAAAAATGTGTATATTGTATAAACATTGAATACATTTCGCACCATATTCGAACATTATTGAGTAATTGAAAGCGTATTCAACCTTTTTAATTATTTATTTTGTTGAGATATAAAAAAAAACACAGAACTAAGAAGACTGAGGTTGTAAGTCTAGTTTTGGACTATTTTGTTATGGTTTAAAATTATTCGATACTTCAAATATATTTTATATTACAACATGTATTCCAAATCAAATATTATAAACTTTACGATTTAATGACAATATTTTTGTAAAATCTATAGCAAAATTATTATCAAGGTCATTACCAAAAACTTCTAAAAAGCAAAAAAAAAAATTGTATATTTTTAAATTGACTCTATTGTCTTTGGAATGGATTATAAACAACCAATCAGTTATTGTTATATTTTCAAGCAGACAAGCTTGTAAGCAGGTGCAATCGTCTAATGAAAATTATATACTCGACAAACATTCAAATTTTTGATCATCTTTGAACATTTCCAAACCTTTATAGTTATGATTAGTCATAAATTATCATGGAAATATTTGAATTTAATAAATATTTTTTTTATAAATCAACAACAAAGATTATTTTAAATAAAATGTTAGTCTATCGCGACATTATTTTAGTTCTCCGCCACCGCTCGGTTTGTCCGAGTGGGGCGGAACACATGGGAAAATGGAAATTTGACAAAAGTCGTTCAGTCTTCTTTCTTCTCAGTTGGGGATTTCGGTTCCTCTTCAGAGGAAGAAGGGGGTCGATCCATTTCGCATTCCGATACTGAAATACAACAAAGTATAAATTAAAAAAAACTACTTCCAAATACGGAACATCATACAATCACGACATGAATTACAAAATCCACTAATTTATATATATTTTTTATTTTTTTAAGAATTAAAATTTTTTTATTACCGTCCATATTTTCAGGATTCGATACATTTCTTCTTTCCTCCTCACTGTCGCTAGTGTTACTCTCAGCTGATGAATCATCGCCTGAATCTAGAAAACAAAAAGTAACTCGTTAATATCAATAAAAGTTAAAAGAATTACAGAACTCACCAGATAAAAAAGGAGGCAGCCATTAAGATTTATAAACAATTTGTTTTGTGAAAATACTGAGGTAAAGTTATATAAAAAAAATAGTTATAAGATGATTTATATCAGAAAAAAAATTGTTGCATGTTCGTATGTTGCAGTATATGGTAAAAATGCCTTGTAAGGCACACCTGGTACACTTGGTACGGTACACCTGGTACAGAACACCTGGTACGATACATACTAGCGATGACATTGGAAGCCGGCAGCAGCGCTCTGACAGGCTGCAGTGGGGGCGCGGCGGGGCGCTGCTTGCGCGCGGGGTTCAGCCTGCCGCAGTACGCGCACGAGTACGACACGTAATCGAATTCCTCCACCATCGCCATACCTATTTTAAAATCATCATCATCAGCAAGCTACAAGTTCCCCTGAGGGTTTCGAGCCTACCCTAAGTTAAGGATGACTAGGCCATAGTCAACACTGGCTGGTTGATTTCCCTACTCCTACCCGCCCCCCCCCTTTGAAAATAAAAATCAAAAATATAAAATAGATATATAGACTACTTAGAAATACTGTGAGCCATACATATTTCTATATATTCATATACATAACAACTAGTAGTTCCATTCCCTTACCAATAAGCATTACCTTTGGAATAAAAAAAAATTACGCCCTTTCAGTACAATGCATTAGAAAAATACCACCATCCTTTGGGATCTCGGTTATCCATGTTTGTCTGTAGTACCAAAAAAATACTGACCATTGTGTGAAAAACATTCTGAACATATAAGTGCCATGCGATGGTTGGGTCCATCCTTCATCAGATAATCTATCACTTTGTCTAGCGTCGAGCGGTTTCTATCCAGCAAGGGTCGAGGAAGTTGGTTTGACTGGAAAAAATACAATAAATATACAAAACATTACTCCTGAACTATGACACCTCATTATAGTGTCTGGCATTTGATTTGGCACCTCAGGAATAAGAGTATTCCCTAATGTGCATATTTCCAGGTGCAATACATATAAATACTCATTGGCGCCTTCCTGGTTTTCAAACGAAATAAATAATAAATTAATTTAAACAAAAAAAAACAGAATGACAGACTACATAAAAGCGCCATCTATTGACAGCGTTTTAAAACAAATGTTTAATAAAATAATTTAAAATAAATAATCTGTAACACTTTAAAAAAAAATTCCTCACTTTAAAATATATTCGAACACATCGAAAAAAAGATTTAACAATGAAAAAAAATATGGCGAATGAGATTTGAACTCGTTTGTTTCACGATTTTTTTTTAGAAATACATCAAATTCACTGTCTTTTGTGTCTATTTAATGTACTCGAATGACACCCCACTTGTCAAAATCAGTTGTTTAGACTCTAGAGCAGTCCTTCCCAAAGTGGGCGATAACGCCCCCTTGTGGGCGCTGCAGATCCATATATAGGTCACAATAATTAATTAATATAATTTGAAGCTATAGTGGTTTTTAAATATGTGAAAATATGGGGGCGCTAAAAAAATATTTATTCTCAAAGTGGGCAGTAGACAAAATAAGATCTTACATACGCGCGAAGAACATTACCCTCTTTGTCAGTTGGGAAAATAACAAACAGTCTGCCTTGTTAATACCAAAATTATTTAAAGGAGTTCTATTACTAAAAATAATAATTTCAAACTTACTCGTAGTCTTGGTCCTTTGTACAAAGCTGTGGTCGTATTGTTCATGGCCATCAAGTTCATGTTGCGGTTTAAAGGAGTAGAGGACTGCAGTGCGAGCTGCTTCTGTCTGAACGGCACTGGTGTTGCTGGAAATATACAAAATATGTCAATTCTCATATCGCCTATGGTTACGAATAACAAACATCATGTATCATAGAGATTGAACAATTTTTTAAAACTATATTTTCGACAAATAAGACAAAATATTAGCAATTCCCCGCTACTGCAACAGCGTAGAATATAAGAAAAAAAATAGCCTATAACATAGCATCCATCACCGTTCATCACAATCTAGTCGAAATCAGGATAGCCCTTTCGGAAATGACCTGGATCAAAATTGGATTTTCGTCAAGAATAACGCAAATATATCATTTTTGCGAAATATTTATTTTTTATATTACACACACACTCCAATTTTTTTTTATGTATTAATAGACATATATTAAGAATGTAATGTAACACAATACAAGGGGAATTCCCGTTACATATTCCATGACAAAAGGTGACATGACAGACATGGATTGTATCGGAGATTAAATCGGAAGTTGTTATTCATGTTTTGAGGACTATAAATAGGACATTACTCAGTTATTGTGGTAAACAATTTGCATTGCCAGATGAAAAATTTACCTACTACATGGGTATAAGATAGTCAATATATTAAAAAATAGTAAATGTATACTATGTACTATATCAGAATTTATATATAAGGTTCGGGCTGTTTAAAAAAATCAAAATTATTTCAAAACATTTATTTAAAAGTAACAAGAAATTAAATTTAATTTGAATTAAGACTAGTAATAATTTTTAATAATAATTTAATTGCATGCAAATAATTTTATAATCTCATTAAATATAATCAAAAATTATTTCAAAGAAAAATAATTTCAATTTTTTTGTCTTTAAACATTAAAATGTACTTTAAAAATAGAAATTATTAGTTTAAAAATAAATATTATTTAATTACACACTAAATATTTTACTAAACAAAACTTATCAACTTGACATTAATATCATCATAAAAAAAACTTGTAAAATTCTTTAACATGTATTGTAAAATACATTCATTTTATTACCACATCGAAAACATCCAATAATTCACTTATCTTGGGTTTCTGAAACCAAAATCCCTGCTTAAAACATATTGACATCTCTGTTTTATCAAGGACGGAGATAACAATATTTTAGACTCAGAAACCAACGGTTAATGCATGTAAAAAGCTTATATGCTTAAGGCTTGATACATTGTCACTTCAAGCAACATGATGATAATCTAAATATGTTTTTCTGTAAGGTTTATAAATGAAATCGTACCAACATCTGACTGATCTACCTGGTGCAGAATTAGGTGCGTTGTTCGCGTTGTTTGGAGACGCTATAGCCGGCAGCAAAGGCTTAAGCGCATTCGATTGCTCCTCCGGACCACCGTACTTGTCGAGAATCTCTTTAGCAACCTGCAATGGAATGGAAATGAATATTTTAATCGCATCAACCAAACCTCAAAAATTAAAATGTACTGTTCTCTGTTTTGTCATAGATATTGAGAGGAATGACGATATATTGTGTGCACAGGTTTCTCGATAATTTTAGACATTAGGATTATAAAAAAGATAGTAGTCGATTCTTTCGAAAATTTCATGAGAATCTGTCAAGCCGTTTCGGAGGAGTATGGGTAAGATAGTAAGTATGGTAAGATTAGGTAGAATTCTTTGGCGCGAATCGCGCACTTTCATTACAAAGTCAAGTGTCAGAATGATTAGTGAAGGGACATAAACGTCGACATTTTATTAAGGCTAGTGTTGCGCCAGTACACCGGCACAGTGTCGGATTTTCTTCCTAACAATAGATACAAATTCCTTTTTAAAAAGAGTGCTAAAGATATAACAATATTCAATTTACCTTATATGTTTCAGTATTCATAACATCTTCTAATATTTTCTTCTTTTCTTCTCTCATCGTCTTCAGTTTCATTTTATTCTTGTTCAAAGACCATGTGTAATACCACGATATCGTAGCGCGAATGAAAAACACTCTGTAAAGGAAATATGCCATTATTTTAAGGGGTGTCACAACAATCTACTCCCAAAAACTAACTTTTTATCTTGCGCAAAAATTTTGTGTTCAGATTGTTTGATCCAACCACGAAAACTCTGGAATGCATTAACAGAAATTGAAAATTTGCACATAGCAATACTTGTCAAATTATTTGATATGATAAATGACCGAGGCTTAGTCACTCCTAACGGTACCCTACTTAGGTGACTAGGCTCTCAGTCCCTCTGTGAGGATATTTAAGTTGGCGCTTTAAAACCTATGAAAAGTTATCGTAGTGTAGTGACATTTGTACTTACAATATTGGCAACACTAGCAGCGGGGAGGCATATAGCAGTGAATGCAACCAATGCTGACTGCGACCAACGTAAACATAGTAGTACAACACAGCGAGCAGCACATAAAGGCCCACGGAATACGCCATGACGTAGCCGACCACACGCCGGTGCGTCTGTTCTTTGCAGTGACCATCTCGCTCTATGCTTTTTATATTCGCCTCCAAGCGTTCCAGGATCTCTGATGTTGTTTTCTTACGCTGAAAAATAATTTTATGTTACCAATAGAGCCTAGTTGTATTAACAAAACTCCCTCGGTTATTCTCCTGAACTGATATACCATACATTTACTTCCCAAAATATGTAATTTACTTAATGAAAATTCTATTGAAATCTCTATGGTCTCTGTTGTCAGTTCTATGGTTTCTTTGTTTCAAGAACTATCCTTGACTACTAGCTATTTAAGACCGCAGAGTGTCATAAGCCGCAGTATACACATATTATTGACAAATCTGGGAAAATAGGTAAACGTGAACATTTTAAGATTCAAATTATTTTTTTGGATTCGGTCGTTATCCAGTCGGCTCCAGCTGAATCCAAAATATCTTTGAACGAGATCTATTACGTAGGTCGGCTAGAATAGGCATTGCATAATATTACACTATCTACTAAAATAGAAAGATGCGATTAAAAAACGTCAGATTATCTCATCCCGATTTACAAACATCTGCTTTGAAAAATCAAGAAGTGTGATTTACAGAAAACTAGCTGTCGCTCGCGACTCCGTCAGCGCGGAATTATAAACAAAACCTTCATATGCCTATTTGTTCTTCCAGACTGCTGTACATCTATGTAAAATTTTAGCGCGATCCGTTTAACGGTTCTGGAGTTACCTTCTAACAAACATTAATCAAAACATTCACGTTTATAGTATCAGTAAGATTTGAATCAAATACAAAACACACGTATAGATCAAATATCCTCAACACTAGAAAATACTGAAGTCACGTTGTTGACCATTGCGCGAAGACTTTCATTTGTTCAAAGACCATCTTATAGATAGTCTTAAAATGAGCTACTGATTAGTATTGCCACTATTTCGGGTTTGACCTGAATTTTTTAGATTTGCTTATCACCGGGCTAATAGTTTGACATAAGTGTCTTCGGATAAGAGTGGATACTCAGGTCAGGGTTGACAAGTCACCGGGTGTTTGTTTTTCTATATGTTAATTGGAAGTTGGCAGCCCTACAGAATACGATTGGTAACTATTGAAAACTGCATACAATTGGCATGAACTGAAACAACTAAATGTAAACAGGTGAGTTATTTCGTAACTCATGCCTAAGAATATTCTACACAAATGTCGGTCGTCAACCTCTCACATATGTAATGATTGACGTAAATGTAACACTATTTAAATACCTGCTGTCTAGAGACGTAGGCGAAATTATTGATTTCAACTTCAACATTCTTATTTCTATTTATAAATATAATAAGCAAGAAAGCTGCTTTTATACTTTATGTTACTAATAGCTGTCGCCCGCGACTCCGTCCACGCAAAATTAAAAAAAAAAAAATTTTTTTTGCCAATTTTATCTAGATCCGTTCTGGAGGTACCTTCAAACAAACATTCATCCATCAATCCATCTAAACAATCGCATTTATAACATTAGTAAAAATATTATAAATGCGAATGTTTAGGTGGATGGATATTTGAAGGTTTCTCTAAAACGGCTGCATGAATCTCGCTGAAAGGCATAGATGTAGAACATAGTCTGGAAGAACACATAGACTACTAATTATTTCTTTTAATTACACGAACAGAGTCGCGGATGACAGTTAGTACTTTGATAAAGCTCATTTCGGTATGTCATCTTGTTACAATTTTTTATCTTTATATATGTCAAATGAACATGTTGTTAAGAAACTTGTATTACCATTAAAGTGAGAGAAAGAAGTTTTATCTACTTTCTTTCATAATAATATCTGTACACGACTTTCGTGGCTAATTTAATCACTCACAAGCTACATTAAAATTACTTACATTTTCTGTCAATATCTCAATTGCCTAGATATTTTTGAATGTATCATCACACAAGCAGTTTTATATCGGTAATTTCAGAAACATCTAATTATTTATTTTTACTTATAAATGCGAATGTTTTGATGGATAGATGTATGTTAGTATATCCAAACAGCTGCATGAATCTTGCTGAAATTTGGCACCGATGTAGAATACAGTCTGAAACACATTTTTTTTTTTTATTCCGCGCGGACGTAGTCAAAGTACAACAGCTAGTAATATCATAACCACAAATACAATTTGATAAAACCTTTTTTTTGTGTTATAAATATAAAATCCAAGAGTGGTATTGTAAGTATTTTAAATTTGACGAAAATGAAAGTACAGATGAAGAGAGTGTGACGAATCATTTTATTTTTCAACAGTTTTTGTCCGTCATTCTTATTCATTCGAAGTTGCACTTTTATGTTGTGGAATAAATTGTTTATTTGTAAAAAAAAACCTAGTAAATACCGATACAAATTTGAGCGCGGTAGACTTGCTTGAATTAACACACGCCACGCTACTATGGTTTTTATAATATGAAAATTAACTCGCGGGCTAGTCGATGGCATTTAACGTGTTAGTTTTGAAACTCAACCAATCAAATAGGAAACTTCTATGAATACAATTCGATTCGTCTTAAGAATAATGATTTTTTTTTAAATAAAATTCAATGAATTATTTACTTATCTTACTAATATTATGATGTTAGAAAGATATCTCCAGAACGGTTGCATGGATCCCGTTGAGATTTGACATTGATATAGAACATAGTCTGTAAGAACACATATGCTACTGATTAAGTTTTTACGGACTAATAATACTACTAATTAAGCTCGCACGGACGGCGTCGCGAGCGACAGCTAGTACGAGCATAAATAAATTTATGGTGTGGGCGACAGAAATCATGAAATGTAACTTTCTTCCATACACAATATTCAGTGTAAGGTGAAAGTCTGCTAGGATAGAGCTCGCGAGTGCAACGACCCATGCAGGGCGGTATGAAAGACTTCATACATACCCATACAATATAGATTTTAACCTCTAGAGAAACTGGTTTGTAGTCTAAAGGACTTTCTATTCGATATAGTTTTGTTTATAGTTAACTAGTGGTCGCCAGCGACTCCGTCCGCACGCAATTAAATAAAACATAATTAGTAACATATGTGTTCTTTCAAACTATGTTCTATATCTACGCGAAATTTCACCCAGATCTGTTAAGTCGTTTTGGCAATACCTTCTAACAAACATCCATCATTTATAATATTAGTAAGAAGTAAGAAACTAAAATTATAACTTATGGTAATAATAGTTATTTCGTTCTGAAATACAATACTGTTTAGTATTTTCATTATGTAAAAACACGCAGATTTTTACACCACTAGCTATCACACGCGACTTTCCCCGAGTAAAAAAATGTGTTCGTATACGTTACTCCAGACTGTTTCAAATATCAATTCTAGATTTATGAAATGTTCTATAAATCTTTGTGAAGTTTCGCATATGAAGTAATAAAGTGTTAACTGCACTATATAAGGTATTGCAGTGGGTGTCATTAGTAAATTTAACTTCTGAAATTTAAACACAATACATTTCCTTGTGAATAAAATTATCACCGCGACCACAATAGGTTATCGTATTATAACAGCGGTACCAATTTATGTATTACATAATATACATGCAATATGTAATATACATTTCTTGTATATTATACATTAACTTTTGATATTTTAAATTAGAGCGTCGCTGGGGTCAAGCACTTGACTTGCAACCTGCAGGTCCTGGGTTGGAATCCCGCCATGTACCAATGTGTTTTTCGATTTCCGACGCCTTTACGGTGAAGGAAAACATCGTGATGCAATCTGCACATATCTGTGAAATAATTCAAAGATATGTGTGAAGTTAACCCGCACTGGGCCAGGGTGGTTGACTATGGCCTAGTCACCCGTGACTTTAGGTAGGCACCGTGCCCCTCAATACAGACGTATAGTGAGCTGATGATGATTTTAAATGAAGTATGCGTATTTTCATATTTTTAATACAAAGAATACATTGAGAATGTAAATGTATTTTTTTAAGTACACATTACACAATACTCGTTGAATGTTTAACAGAATGAAAAAACCTCCAGAATGTACTACCCTAACATTTATGATTTCCTGGTAACGGACAACAAAATCGGTAGCCATGTAGATAAAAATCATGGATCCAAGTTGTAAACAATAATCTACGTAGTACTTTGAAATATTAAAATCTTGATAATATCAATGTGACCTTTATTTCCGAAGACTAGTTCTCATATGCACTGACCTAGATATTCATATATTAGTAGGCGTTGTAATAAAAATATGCTCTTTGTATGAATAAGAATCATTTCATAATACACACAAAGCATCGCAGTAGTTTTTATTAAGAAATATGTTCTTTTGAAACAATAATTGCTTCGCACATCAATGCTATATGCTCCTTAACCTTACTAATAATATAAATGCGAATGTTTCGATGGACGGAAGAATGTTTATTTGAATTTCCAGAACGACTGTATGGATCCCGCTGAAATATGGTATATATTTAGAGCATAATCTGGAAGAACACAGATATTTTTATTCTAGAAAGCTTTTGTGAGCAGGTTTAAAAATTTCAAACTGTTTAAACTCAATTTGGAAGTCGACCTATTGTCCAAGGACCTTGTCATAATAATATTAGTTACATCTGATAGATCAGATACGTTTTGGAAGGTCACTTCAAATATTACATTCTTATGTAACACTTTCAGTGCTACCAACTTGTCTGAAGACTTCCTTTTTGTGCATTGAATGTGTCAAAAAGCTGTTACTATTTTTTTATCCATAATCTCGTACATTCAAAAGTAATCCGATACGAGATAAACAAAAAACACTTGATACCCACAAATATCTCAGATTCAGATAATAATAGACAAAATGCGATATTCAGTTTAAGGTCGCAGACAGTATTCTTTACATTATTATTAACAACTAGCTGTCGTCCGCGTCACCGTCCGCGGGAAATAAAAAAAAAACTTAATTAGCAACCTACGTGTTCTTCCAGACGCTCTACATCTATGCCAAATCAACGAGATCCATCCAAACATTTGCATAAAAATATTAAGTAAGATTATTGAAAAGATACAACTTAGGACAATATTACAAATAAAAAATGCAAAACTTATCATTATGAAAATACTTTTTCAATTAACTTTCCTATCAAAAATATTTATGATAAACAAATAGAAATAGTCACTATGACTAAAGCTTTCTTTATCAAAATACCGATTACGTAAATCCTCGTAAATACTCTTAAATGAAAAATAAGGTTACAAATTGAGTTAGAGATTTTCACTATGTATAAAAAGTTAGGAATATCGTAAGAGTTAATTTATGGTCTATCTAGTACTATTATAGTTATTTCCAAAGTGATCCGTCCTCATGGAGGACACGGGCAATGCGGGTAATAAAGTTCAGGTTTCAAAACTTTAAAAAATGTGGCAGCACGGAATTATAATCATTTTGAAAGGGGTCTATAAAAATACGTTTGGGAATCCCTTGGTCTTGTAGAAAACATTCGTTTGTTCGTTCGTTTAAAGTCCTATGTCCCCATAGTGGGGAAGAGGGCTTTCACAGTGCGCCGCCAGTTCGCTTTATCTTGGGCTCTGCGTTTGGTCTCGTAGAAAACATTACACCTTTTTAAGTATGAAAATAGGCAATCCTAACCGTTGGCTTTTATTTATATTATTAGGTAGCAAGGAAGCAAGCTGGCACCCGGATACGCCGAAATAGCGAAGCGACCACAGCCCAAAGACATCCGCTATTGCAGATGAGTGGGCTACCTTTTATCGAAGGGGGAGGGGACGCACAGAAAGAGAAAGCTTCCTGTTCCCATCCTTATTAGAAAAAGGTGGGAATTAAAGAACACTAAATTAGGCCTCCGGCACCACACTCGTCAGACTGTACGCAATTTCGTCCACTTAACGCCTGTCTTATGTGTGGTCGCGGTATTATTACGGGCGAGCCGATCCATTCATACAATAGTTATTATGCTAGACTCTACCACTAGTTAAAATTCACTATTGATTGGACGTTATAATACAGTGCAGTTTGCAATCGAGCGCAGATATAACTGCAAATAACTGTAATACGAGATAAGGTCTAGGATTACAGCTGTACCGTGCTCGGCCAAGCGTGCGTCCTAATGGAATACTTATGCTTAATAATAACCATAGACCAAAGAATATAGCTTTTTGTTAGAAAACATGAAATCTGTATCTAATAATTCTATTATTCATATTAGTTTGACACAATTGCCTGAAATCGGCGAGAGGAATTACATTGTAAACTGTTTTTACACTCTCTTCTTAAAAGACTTGTCTTATGTTTGGAAATTCTATTCCACAATGAGACAGTATCAAAAAAGGCTAAAATAGCAAAGATCTCTCCACAGTCGGCTCTATTATGAATTCTAAAGTTTTGGATGGATGGATGGATAGATGGTTGTTACTATGCATCTCCAAAATGACAAAACAGATCTCAATGAAATATGACACAGAGATAGAATAATATCCAGTTTACGATAATTTTGAAATTTATGCAGTGCTAGCTATTGCCGCGACTCAGTCTGCGCAGAAATAAAAAAAAACATAATAAGTAGCCTATGTGTTCTTCCCGACTATGTTCTATATTCAGCCTTATTGGAGATATGTTCAAACAAACATCCATCCACCCATCTAAATATTGCCATTTATAATATTAGAAAGATTTTATGTCTATTCAATTTTGGATGCCACAAATAAACATTCGTTTTTATAGTATGTGATTAATCACATATGTTTCTAATGCTTACATAATAATGTGATGATCACAGAATGTATATAGAGCTTCAGTTTTTTTTTTGCATAGATTTATTTACATAAAACAGAATTGGTAACAATGGTTGTATAAGAGTACAAATCTTACTAATATAAATGTGGATGTTTAGATTTTGGATGGATGTTTGTTACAAGATATCTCCAGAATAGCTGCACAAATCTTGTAGAAATTTGGCATAGATGTAGAACATTTAGTTTATTTTTTATTCCACATGGACGGAGTCGGGACAATAGCTAGAAGCATTATTCATACATATGTTTGAATGTTTATTAGTAGGTATCACAACTACATTAATCTCATTGAAATTAGATATACATATTAAACACAGTGTAGAAGAATACATAGGCATGCTATAGTCCCAGAAATATGTTAGTGGCACAACTTATAGTATAGTAATATATATATATTTTTATAACAGAAGGGAGCAAACGAGCAGCAGGAACACCGAGGTGTTCAAGGACACCCATGGACAGCAGCAATACCAGAGGAATTGTTGATGAGTTGCCGACCTTATGTTTATTATATGTTTGTTATTATTACATGTGATTGCTTTTATTAATATAAACAAAAACATTTATATCTTGTTTCGTTTATTCATTGTTGATAGATACAATGAATAGTATTAACTATAGTCAGCTTATATGCATAAAGAAAAAAAACAAACAAACAAGATCGATATGTCGCATTCCTTTCTTAAGTAGAATTGTAAGACAATTTGAGAAAAAAAAATCAAATAATTTATTATGTGAAGAACTGGTTTTCTTTCCTAGAATTTGTTTGTAATATTACATAATAATATTATCATTGTATTATCTATTAGACTCTATGTGCTATCTTGGCTTGAGACTAATATTATGGATTAAATTTTATATTTGTTCTATTTCACTTTTATATTTAAAAATTTCCATAATATGTATTGCATCACAAAATTCAATTTCCTTAAACAGAATGAAGCTTCATCTACATATTGCATGATATTATAATCCACTAGCGGTCTCCGATGTCTTTTGGGATAAAAAAAAATTCAGACAGTCAGACAAACATTTTAAAATTGTAAGATTTATGTTACTTAAATTTTATTAATTGTATAGATTATCATTTAAAAGATATTTATTCATTGAAACTATACCAGTTTTACAACTCTGTGACTTTGATTTTGATTTACAATTTATCAGAGGAATAATTGCTTAATTTAATAGGTGCATGGTGAATATAGAAAAGTAGATACAGTAGGGTAGTTTTATTGTGTAACTATATGGCATGAAACTTCAAAACTATAAAATAAAATCTAGAAATATTTTTTTTACAAAAAAATCTGATATATCTTTCCTAAAATAGCACTTTGATAGCTACACTAAATCATTATTTCTTTAATTTCACATAGGTTTTTATTTTTACTAAAGTCAGAAAATTTACATCAATAGCTTTTGTATTATGAAAGTAACTACTATTTCTACTTAACAATTGTCTTTTTATTACAAAATTTAGTTTGAAGTCAGGTTTTTTGACAGCTAGCAAAGTATTCGAAGTAAGGCATTTATTTCAGATCGCAACGCGGATTTAGTTCAAACTTTCTATAACTCTGCTCTCCAATTATTATCAATCGGTCAGTAGTAATTTGAATTCACGCCAAATTAAATTAGAATCAACTATCGAAATAGTTTTGGCTACGTTACAAATTAAATCTTCTAATACTTACGCGAAGTTTTGACAAAATCAGCCCCATTTTGCTATAAAATTTCTTCTGTCGTAACTATAAATTGTCAAACACTAAAAGCACTTTACAATTTTTGTTTTTTAGTAGAAAGAAACGTTTGTCGATGTAGAAAACGCAAATTGATGACGAATAAGATTCAGTTTATAACCTACAATAAGACGCCGACAAGGGCACAAGCATTTTAAACAAGAGACCAAGCATTAAAGAGTCTTGCAGTCACTTTTTAATTACATGTCCATAAGAATAATTTACTTTAGTCACCAAAAATTTTACATTGAAATACGAAACAAATAAATAACGAACTAGCGGTCCGTTTACACATCCGTCACTCACTGAAACATTTACCACAGATAAAATTAAATATTATCGTGAAGTGTGAAGTAACGTGAAGTTGAAGCACATTACACATTACCACTAAGTCGAGTCCAGTCGAGTCGTTTAACATATAGTCGAATTTTATACTCAGTCTAGAATCGATTTTAAAGTGTTATATTTATGGCAATAAAGTTATTATAAATAACGACAATAAAAATCTGTTAGAGCTAGCTCAATTTCAATTATTGTTTCCTTATATATGATACTTTGTGTCTTCAATTATTGTGTACAAATGAATAAAAAATAATTTCTTAAAATACTTTAGAAATCGATTAATTGATCACTAGGCAGTGGTTCGACTAATAGAAATACAAGTTTTCTTTATTATTTTATTATTCATAAACTAACTTTTCAATTTGAAAGTATTTTTGAGGTCATATTTGGCATTAGTAGTTTATTATTGTTTATAAGATTCAAACAATGACAATGATACTTATTCCGCGACGCATCAGTGATGCGTACAGCCTCACAGGTGTATAAAGTGATACACTTGTATACGCTTTATTCATAGAATCTTACTGTAGATACTCCAAATATTTTAAGAAAATACTATTGAAACAACAGAATAAAGACAAATAATTTAATTATTGTTGAAAAAAACCATCGCTTATTAACAACGTTTCCAATCAGGAGTATAACAATTTAAAGTGGCGACGTCAGGTGATTCTCTACCAACCTGTCGACCATCAGAGTCTACGCAGCGGCACTGCCCCCGACGGCACTGGATTTTCCTAAAGTTACCGTTCTTACAACAGATTGGCCGCTCGTTTGATTGTGCCATGAGAAAAGATGTTTTCGCACATTCTGCAAATAGTAAAATCAACAAGAAATTTAAACAACCTATAAAAATTCTGTCTTCGACAATCGTCCGTTTACTACTCAACTAATTTTCTGTAACTACTAATTCTTTTTTGAATAAATTAGGCATAAAATACAATTAAAAACGACTCAATACTTACTGCAATCCATATTTTCGTAATTTTCAGCATTTTGTTCGATCTCATAACCTTCTATCTTTTGTCCACGATCGTCGACACATATTTTTCTGAAAATATAAAATAAATTGACATATGAATTAAGTTGCAAAGAGGAATTGCCAAGATTCATATTAAATTAAAAATAAACGAGCAATCACCACAAACAATATTAGGACGAACTACATATTTTGACAATGCTATTCTCCAAGAGAGAGAAATAGGGAAAAAGAAAAAAGAAATGGCGGTAAAGAAATTAGTCATACTGCATACTTTCATCATGTAAAGATTTATCGTTGTTTAATATTATTATTACTAACGTTCCATTTCTAGTCTTCAATACTCTTCCATATGTCCCGTCTGGCATACATTCTGCTACAGTTGTAAAGAAATCAGTAATAAAACCATTTTCCTCAGCCTTGTTGATGATATCTATCTTCGCATGCATATTTTCGTAGCAAGGAGTTGTATAGTTGTATGGTGGCTTTCCCTCACTTTGATTCGGAAACAAATCTAACTCCGCATTGTCTAAAAAAAAAATAAAAAGAAATTAATTAATGTAGACCAAGCATCTGACTCGACTAATTGCTTACCGACTCGACTAATTGTATTGTAACTAGTCTATTAACTGGCTACGTATCTAGCTAGTCGACTATTATTTGACCATCACCATCAGTCAATGGAAATGGACTATTAAGAACTCCACACAATATTACCCCGTACAGCTCTTATGAGTCAAATATTGTAATTTTTAAATCTACTTACAACAAGGTAATTTAGATATTGGGTCCTGGTTTAAATTGATTGATTTTTCGTCACGTATTTTTCCAGTGATTCTGTTTACGCAGTAGCAAGTCCTGCCGATGCACTGGACGGGGTGGAAGTTACCATCAGCGGTGCATCTCGGACCCACAACAGGGTACCGTACGCCGGGCGATATTGATTGCTTTATTTTATAATTGAAACGGGAACAACCTGGAAAAAACATAACGTAGAATTTAAATATATATAAAAGCTTTGTAACATACAGGTTGATCCTTACCCTAAAAGTGCCGCTTGATAATTTAAAATGTTCAAATAGAGTTTATTAACCTTGCATTTGCTTCTTCTTTGTTTATTATACATATGGTATGGATATATTTTATTTTATTTTATTTTATTTTATTTATTAACGGGACGACTTACAGCTAACTAACATTATAATAATTTTGTAAATGGAGACTTAAGGCTAATTACAAGTTGTCACACATGGTAACTGCACGGGTAATTGTACATTTCACTTTTTTGAATAATTAATTAATCGGAATCAAGAGCTAAAGAATCGATCGTTAAACAAACGTTTGATTTTAAACGCTGACATGTTAAATATATCTATATGCTTAGACATTGCATTATAGCATCTGCACGCTCGCACTAGGTAACTGTTCTCCCGGTACCTGTTCTTAACTCGCGGTGTATGTAATATGTCAAGTTCACGCTTACGAAGCCCACGCATGGGTACCCTGATGCCTACTTTTTCGAGTAACTCGGGACAATCGATCACGCCGTTTACAATATTGTTAAGGAAAACTAGGTCTGCCACACGCCTCCTCTCTTCTAGCGGTAGTAAATGAAATTTCTTACAACGAGAGTAGTAATTGCTTACATATGTACCAGCACGGTATTGAACGAACCGAAGAAACCGTCTTTGTACGTTTTCTATGCGATTTATGTAGGTGTTATAACAAGGGCTCCAGACTTGGGATGCATACTCCAGGTGACTACGCACGTATGCACAGTACAGTATTTTGAATGTCTTAATAGTTTGAAAGTCAGATGACATTCTTATAACGAAGCCTAATGATTTTGAAGCTTTATTAATAATAGTGTTGATATGAGTATCGAATAGAAGTTTAGTATCGAAAACTACACCGAGGTCTGTTGCATTAGTTAGGGTGCGGAGAGATATATCGTTCAGTTGATAATTGCCCACGATAATATCTGGTTTTCGCGTGAAAGAGCAAACGAAACATTTAGATACATTTAAGTCTAGTTTGTTACGGAAGCAGTATTCTTGAAATCGATTTAAGTCGTCTTGAAGGTTCAGTGTATCTTGGGCACTTTTTATGGGGCAGAGAATTTTCATGTCGTCCGCGTACAGTAGGATTTTTGAGTATTGGAAACAGACCGAAATATCATAGATAAATAATGTAAAAAGAATAGGCGCGAGCAGAGAACCCTGCGGAACTCCTGAGGGTATGGTCATGGGGGCGGACGTGAATCCGTTGAGCACTACCGTTTGACATCTGTTCCGCACATATGACGAAAACCACCTAAAGAGATTGCCTCTAATACCTACCTGCTGGAGCTTCTGCAGCAGGATGATATGGTCTATCCTGTCAAAACATTTACTGTAGTCGGTATAAATAACGTCTACCTGCGAAGGTTCTGACATATGTGCGGATAGAAACTCACTACAGAGAACGAGGTTGGACATTGTAGACCTCCCCCTGAGGAAGCCGTGTTGTGCAAAGCTAAAAGTGTGTTTTAGATGAAAGTATAATTGGTTGTGGACTATCTTTTCCAAAACTTTGGCAAAAATGCATAGCTTCGAAATTGGCCTGTAATTTTTTATGTCATTTTTCGGTCCTTTCTTATGTATCGGAGTTATATAAACGTTTTTCCATATACTAGGCATTACTCCTTCATTAAGCGAACGCCTGAATAAAATACTTAAGGGACCTGATAGACTTTTTGCACAGTTATAGATAAATACAGGGGGTATGCCGTCAGGGCCTGCTGATTTATTTAGGTCTAAGGTTTTAAATAGTTTTTCGACCTCGCTGTCTCGTACTTCTATGGTGCCTATGTCCGCGGTGACATCTGGTAAATCAGGCTCATATGAGGCAGAAAGCGGGTGTTGCGTAGTGGAAGGTTGCAAGAAGGAAGAATGAAAGTACTCAGCGAACAGATTACAAATCTCATCCACTTTACTTGTCCATCTGTGACCGAGCTTAAGTTGGGAGGGATAGGAGCTGACTTGCTTTT